CTCTAACTAAAGTCTTTGATGACTCTCAGTAAGTCACAGCACTCATGTTTTCTGTTACCACTGCACTTTTCTGAGCTTTCCCTGTTCTCTTGTGTTTGAGACCGTTAGCTCTCTGGGACAGGGGCTTCCCACCACTCAGTATTTGTACCATATCTGTTACACTGGGACCCGCTTTTCCCTCTAATAACATGATTAATGCAGCTAGTACAAATACATGATTCAGTAGCACTTAAGTTCCTAAATCAGAGTAGAAGACTTTATATTTTTCCTCCAATCATTCCTTCTTCCCAAAGAAATAAACAAAAGCAAGAAATGTGCAATAAATGCATAAATATATAAATGTAGGTATCCTCAGTTGTTCATCCTGAAGAAACTCCAGGTTCATTCATACGTGTCTCTGCATGGCTTCTGGTGTCGTGGTGTCTAGGTAGCTTGTTCTCTGAAGAGCTGCATGAAGAAGTGATGGGAGAGGTGTGTTTTTCTGAGAGCACTGGCACAGCTAGTGTGTAAATGACTGTTTCTGGGACATGGAGGAATGAAAAAATGCAGAGATCACTTGTAGTCTGCCTCAGAACAGTAAGCATTGCCCTGGGGAGGCCCCATCTGGAGTCCTGTGTCCAGTTCTGGGCTCCCCAGTTCCAGAAGGACAGGGAACTGCTGGAGAGGGGACAGCAGAGGCTACAGAGATGATGAGGGGCCTGGAGCATCTCTCTGATGAGGAAAGGCTGAGGGACTTGGGTGTTTTTAGTCTGGAGAAGAGAAGGCTGAGGGGGGATCTGATCAACGCCTATAAATACTTCAAGGGTGGGTGTCAGGAGGATGGGGCCAGGCTTTTTTCAGTGGTGCCCAGGGACAGGACAAGAGGGAATGGGCACAAACTTGAATGTAAGAAGTTCCACTTCAACATGAGGAGGAACTTCTTTGCTGTGAGGGTGGCAGAGCCCTGGCAGAGGCTGCCCAGAGAGGTGGTGGAGTCTCCTTCTCTGGAGACATTCAAACCCACCTGGAGACGTTCCTGTGGGACCTGCTCTGGGTGGCCCTGCTCTGGCAGGGCGTTGGACTGGATGATCTCCAGAGGTCCCTTCCAACCCCATAGCATTCTGTGATTCAAGACAAGCCACAGGCAGCCAGTTTTTTCATTCCTGAGCCGTTGTTTCCCCTTCTGCCTGTTCAGCATCCTTCCCTTGTCCAGTTCCCTTGTGACAGTCTCCTCTTGCCAGGTGACTGCTGAACTGTGCATCTGCCAGAGGAGGTAATGTTGCTAAAGTGACATCTCTCCAGACGTCTCTATCTCTAGAGAATTCTGTCCCAAAAAGCTCTCTGAAATCTGTGTGACAAATGGCAGCCAGCCCCACTGAGGGCTTTGTGGTGTGGAGATACCTGTGTACGTACTCTCAGAGGCTAGTTGGGGAAATGCAGTGTTTTGTCCTTCAGTTGACACTTCACTATTTCCTTGCTTTACAAACGCGTCGAAGATGCTAGTGCTTCATGAATACCAAACACAAGGGGTTTCTTTTCTTTTCTTTTCTTTTTTTTTTTTTTCCCCCCATGATCGATACGAAGATCTCGGTAGAGCACAGCACATCACAAATCTTTTCCAAGCGTTTCAACCGCTCCCTTCCCCCTCCCCAAAGGTGCTGGCTGAGATCCCAATAATCAAGGCAATCACAGTGTAAAAATAAGGCATTGCCAAGGCTCAGCTGTGCTGTGCTGGTGGGAGAAGTAACGATGGCAAAGCCGCTGTTCTATTGTCCATGAGGGGGAGACTCTGCCTAAAAGCTCCGGTCCCCCGTTGTCCCCAGGAACAAGTGCCTGTGGAGTGGCAGCTTTGCAAAGTGAAATTCCGGCTGTTATTCCGTAGCCCAGGAGGCCAGTTGCCTAAAAGTATGCCCCAGGGACAAGATGGGTTTTGAGAGACGGAGGAATAGCAGAGGCATATCAAGAGTGGGGGATGCACAGCACCTTGGGCTGGATCGTGGTGGGGCTTAGCAGATGTGTGAGGAGGAGCTGGGCCACGTGTGGAGCCTGGCCTGGGTAGGGGATGCTGGGCAGTCAGAACCCAGCTATCCAGAGCCAGGATTGAATCCAAGCCCTTCATGCTCCTCTGCCCCAGGCTGCCTGCACGTTCGGGAAAACAGCTTTGCAGAAAACCAGGCTGGGAAGGAATTCTTCAGAGTGGAAGAGCTCGCTTAAAACAAATTAAACAGCTGAACTTCTTTTTCTAGTCACTAAGGAGTCGTCCATTTGCCTTTAGGGAAATGGGGAAGGAGGCGAATTCTTGCTCTTCCTTAATGCCTGTTGGTTCTTAGTGCAGTGGCAGCTGGTTGCTGGGTTTGCTTTCCCTGGGTGAGTCCCAGCTGTGATTGCAGGTGCCGCTCCAGTAGCTTGGATCCGAGCAGGGACTGGTGAGCAGGCGGCCCGTGTTTGAAGTGCTTCACAGCAGTGGATACAGATGAATGCTAAAGCTGTTCCCTGGTAAATGTTGGAACCGTGTGAGTGCACTGAACCCCTCCGAGCTGCCAAACCTTCTGTCGAGCCAGAAGTTAAGTTGTTGTAAGTCTGTGTTCCCTTTTCTTTCAATAGCTTGTAGTGCGTCCTGTAGGAGTGTAAATATGACTCCAGCCAGGCGTGAAACATGCAGCTTGAAAGCCAGGGTGGTGGAGAGGCTGGGTAATGGAGAGTGTGATTGTGACTCACAGGAGCTGCTTCTCTGGTTGGATCGAAACGGGAAGAGCCTGGCCATGTCTCTGCCTGCCTGTTTGCCCTCCTCTGGAGGGAGGAAGGGTACGGGGAGCCTGGCAGGGGCCCTGCTGAATTTGCTTTACTGATGTAAAACTCCAGCACAGGTTGGGGGTGACCTGCTGGAGAGCAGCTCTGAGGAAAAAGACCTGGGAGTCCTGGTGGACAACAGGATGGCCATGAGCCAGCAATGGGCCCTGGTGGCCAAGAAGGCCAAGGGCATCCTGGGGGGCATCAGGAAGAGTGTGAGCAGCAGGTGGAGGGAGGTCATCCTGCCCCTCTGCTCTGCCCTGGGGAGGCCCCAGCTGGAGCACTGGGACCAGTTCTGGGCTCCCCAGTTCCAGAAGGACAGGGAACTGCTGGAGAGGGGACAGCAGAGGCTACAGAGATGATGAGGGGCCTGGGGCATCTCTCTTACGAGGAAAGGCTGAGGGACTTGGGTCTGGAGAAGAGAAGACTGAGGGGGAATCTGATCAACGCCTATAAATACTTCAAGGGTGGGTGTCAGGAGGATGGGGCCAGTCTTTTTCCAGTGGTGCCCAGGGACAGGACAAGAGGGAATGGGCACAAACTGGAACAGAAGAAGTTCCATCTGAACAGGAGGAGGAACTTCTTTGCTGTGAGGGTGGCAGAGCCCTGGCAGAGGCTGCCCAGGGAGGTGGTGGAGTCTCCATCTCTGGAGACATTCAAACCCCCCCTGGACACGTTCCTGTGCAACCTGCTCTGGGTGGCCTTCCTTTGACAGGGTGTTGGCCTAGATGATCCCCAGAGGTCCCTTCCAACCCCATATCAGCCACCCTGTAATGTAACTGTAGGTAGTGGAGACTGCAGAAGCCCCCCCTGTGCTAAGCACGCCCTGATGCTGTAGGAGCAGCCGCTGGAGTGAATGCCCCTGCGCGTGGACGGCATCTGGTGCGTGGAGGAGCTGTGTGCCTGGGAACGTGTCAGTGAATCTGCAGATTCTGTTGGGGTTTTGTGTGGGTTTTTTTACTCCCATTTCCCACCCCTTCCACGCTGCTTTTCTTTATCTGTGTATTTAAAGAAGTAAGGATACTTCAGACAGATTTTCTTCCCACTGCCTCTGGCTACTGAATATCGCTTCTTCCTGGACTCAGGCACCAGCTCTTTAGCTGTGATGGGGTCTGGAGAACGTCGCTGAAAGCCCTTCTGCAGGGAGAGGCGTGGGGAGGAGGGACCCATTAGAGTGCAAACAGAGGGAGCTGGAGTGAATTTCCATGCTGATGAGTATGAGAGTGAAAGCCCTGATGGCTGCTGTGGTGCAATTTGGCCAAGCAAGTGTTCTTCAGGCACCACCAGTGTGTGTCTGTGCCCAGCACTGACACGGGCTGTTCCCATCATGAGCACTTACCTCCGCAGTGGGTCTCACGAGTGACATCCCAACTTAGACCAGTAACATACTCTAGCCCACAGAGACTTCGCTCTCTTGCCATTTAACTTCTCAGCTGCAGCTGGTAAGCAGGGGAGAGGCTGAGGAAATACTCCAGTTGCATTTTGATTCATTTTTTTCCCAATTATTTTGCTTTCAGTTCTAGATTTCTCGTACCTGCCTCTAGACACACGTGGAAGGGAAGGGGAGTATGTTGGTGCAGGCAGTGAAGGAAACGAGGCAGGAAAGGAGTGATCAGTGTTTCTGCTGCTGTGCTTGGGCCACTGTCATAAGTTATCTCTAACGATCTAAATTAGGGCTGAGGACTAAAGTCATTATGAGATGAAGTCAAAGTAGTGTCTATGGTGATGAATGACTACAAGTAAGAGCCAACTACAACATTTGAAACATAGTAGAGATCCAAAGCAATAAACCATCAGCTTCAACACCGAGGGAACAAAGTTCCGTAGAGCAAAATGTCGGGCGATGCTGGTTTTGGAAGGGAGATCCTCTTCCTGGTGGGGATGGAGCAGCGATGGCCACGTTTGCTGTGTCTCAGCAGGAATTTTCAGCCTGTTCCCAGCGAGGCAGCAATTCCCTCTGCAAGAGCAGTGAGCACAGCCCTGTGTCTGCTGGGACGGATGCACCCATGTGTGGGGCAATGCCTGTGCTTGCCATTTCCAGTGATCCCACAACTGAATCTGCGTTGGTCACTCAGGGGGAGCGTGCCTTCGGCAGAGCGAGCAACGCCGTGTGGTGAGACAGGGACGGCTTCTTGCAGGGCTGTGGCTCCATGTGCACTGACTCAGGCCAGTTTTGGCTGCATCCTGAAGCTGCTCCTGAGACCTCTGAAAATTTCTCTCCTTTGTTTCAGAGCCATCATCAATCACTTCAACCCAAAGATAGAGTCTTACGCTGCGGTGAATCACATATCACAGCTCTCCGAGGACCAGGTAAGCCAGGCGTGCGGTGACCTTTTTTCATGCTGACTTCTGGAATATAGGTGGGTAGCAGTACCTTGTGCCCACTGGGGCTGATGAAGTTCACAGAATCCCAGAATGATATGGGGTTGGAAAGGACCTCTGGGGATCATCCAGTCCAACACACCTGCCAGAGCAGGTCCACACAGAGCAGGTTGCACAGGAACGTGTCCAGGTGGGTTTGAATGTCTCCAGAGAAGGAGACTCCACCACCTCCCTGGGCAGCCTCTTCCAGGGCTCTGCCACCCTCACAGGAAAGAAGTTCCTCCTCATGTTGAGATGGAACTTCTTATGTTCAAGTTTGTGCCCGTTCCCTCTTGTCCTGTCCAGCTGTCAGAGAACTGTTGGGCATAACTTAATCTTCTGTGATATTGGGGAATTAGAAGTCAGGCAACAGTTGGTAGACATTTTCTAGGGTAATTGAATTCAGTTGTTTGAGATTTTGAAAAGAAAAGGTTTTTAATAAAGAGTGTGGTAGGATTAGGTTTCCCTTCCTTAATTGGGCCTGGTTTGCTCTCTTTGTGCCCTGCTTGTATTGCATAAATGTGTAAATGTGGCTTTTTGAAAATAGGCTACTGTGCGTGGCCTCAGGAAGGGAAGAGATGGCCTATTTCCCAAAATAAAATACCGGGATTATATGTTAATCACTCTTGGAGAGGTAAATGACCCTGTAGGAGCCTGTGGTGGACAAAATAGGGAGCTGCCATGTGAGCTGGGAGGATCATCCCAGATGCAGCTGCGTCAACACCTCTGGACATTCCAGAGAAGAAATTGTGTCCACAGTGTAGGACAGACCTCGTCGAGTCTCCTTGCGTTGCTCCTTCCACTGCATGGGATCCCATTCTTGTGCCTGTTGAAAGCTCCTGACTGTATCTTGCTCTGCAGTTCATTTCTCCTTCTCTCTGTGGTATTTTTACTCATTACTTGATGATACCCTTCCGTGATTCCCACTAAGCTTTTAATTTATTATCCTACTTGATCTGTAACATGTATCACCCCAAAATTTCAGGTTGAAGGGTGTAGTGGTGCAGTGGGGGAAAAATGTGCCTACTGCTTTTTATTCTCTTCTTGATCTGGCTGGATGGAAGAACATTGGTTTTAATTCACTCAATTTTTCTGTATTGCTCTGCCTCTGAGAGTCACTGTACCCACAGCTATATTTTATGATGGTTCATGTTAACAGTCCTTATTCCTTGATGATACATTGATTGCATCAACCCAGGCCCCTAAAAAAGAAAAGCCTTTGATAGCCCAATTTGAAACTGAGGGCTTGGATAGAGAGGCATTTTGCATAGTGTTTAGGTTAGTCTGAGAAAGGAAATGAGCTTTTCACTGTCGGCTCAGGGTAGTGTTCATCCTCCAGCGGTTCAGGGAGGTCAGGTTAAATCCTTTCTTCCTTGTGTGTTACTCTTTAAATAAAATCTCTAGCAGCAGGCAGATAATGAAATCAGTGCTGATGCATGGAGCATTTTGAGGAAGATGGCTAGGAAGTTGAAAGACAGATTTCTCTTCTTTTCTCCCTTCACGCTTCCTCTCAACGTAGGGGAGAACATCAAACAAAGCGAAGCAACAATAGATCCTGGTGAACTGCAGAGAAATAACGAAGATGTCCCTGCGGTGAGGGACTGTGTGGTCTCAGTCAGGGTGTTTAGTCAGTGCTCGGTGATTTACTGCACGAGGAGGAGAGGGATGGAGGCTTCTTGCTTCCACTTTCAATTAGCCAGTGTCTCTGTGTTGGACTGTGGTTTCCCCTCCATCAGTAGCCCTTCCACGTAGTGAGCACATCAGAGGCAGCGGTGGATGGCTGTGATCAGGCCAGGGTCTGCCTTTTGTAGGGTAACAGAATTTGCTGCTTTCATTCCAGTGTTAGCAGTTCGGGGCGTGGGGGTGTGTGTCAAACTTGCCTTTTGGCTGCTGCAGTCTCTTTTTGGTTGGTTGGTTGGTTTTTTCTTCCAGCTGTACTTTCTGTTTTTACATGTGCATTCACTTAATTCCGCTTCTCTCTTCTTACACAAAATCCACCCTCCTTTCTAGCCCTGTTTTTTGAAGTGTACCACATCAAAATAGTTAATGCTGACATTTAACTTGTGTATCCACACGCAGATACTACATTTGGGACTGGTCTTTCTCTCGTTTGAGTTATTTCAATGGTTTCAGGAGACTGGTATTTCTTTACTGGGAACATTGATTTTGATGATCAAACTTTTCTTTTAATGGAAAAAAACCCTTTTCCTTCCCAGATACTAACCTTTGGCCAGATTCTCATACAGCTGCTCGTGCTCCTCTGTGGTATCTCAGAATCTCCTGTTGATCAGGCAGGCTTGGGTGTGACGTAGCTCCATCTGAAGGGGCATTTCCTGCTGCTCTGAATTCCTACCAATTCACTTGAACCTACTCAGCTCACAGAATCTTACTTGAGCCTGTGTCAAACTTGTTACGCTGCTCCCTGATTGTTCTGGCTCCTGTGAATGTGTTAGATGATTATTTTATTTTTTTATTTTATTTTTTTTTGTATTTTTAATATCCTTAAAAGTAGCTAAGTAATCAGCTGAAAGAGATTTTGCCCTATCTTTTTATTTTCCTAATCCTATTGAAGGCTTTATTACCTTGTTAATCACTGATGTCCGTTTATTACCATTCTCAGTCTGTCATCTCAGTGCTTTCTCCTTTTTTTTTATTTATAAGCATTAATGTTAATGTTATTACACGCGAGGGACTTTGTAAGCCCTTGAAAAAGATAGACATGGGATTGTTTTATGGGTAGCCTGTTAGTACCACTGCACATCTTCAGCTCTAGAGATCTCCAGGAACCATAGTTTGAATGTAGAATCACAGAATCACAGAATTGTCTGGATTGGAAGGGACCTTTCAGATCATCCAGTCCAACCATCACCCTAACTCTGATAAAACCATCACTAACCCATGGCTCTAAGCACTATGGCAACCCGGCTTTGAAATCCCTCCAGGGATGGGGCCTCAACCCCTGCCCTGGGCAGCCCATTCCAAGGCTTAAGAACCCTTTCCATGGAAAAATTGTTCCTCATCTCCAATCTGAACCTCCCCTGGTGCAACTTGAGGCCGTTTCCTCTTGTCCCATGGCCTGTGACTTGGGAGCAGAGACCGACCCCCCCTGGCTACACCCTCCTTCCAGGGAGTTGGAGAGAGCCAGAAGGTCTCCCCTCAGCCTCCTTTTCTCCAGGCTGAACCCCCCCAGCTCCCTCAGCCTCTCCTCATCAGACTTCTTCTCCAGACCCCTCCCCAGCTCCCTTGCCCTTCTCTGGACCCGCTCCAGCCCCTCAGTGTCTTTTTTGTGGTGAGGGCCCCAAAACTGGCCCCAGCCCTCGAGGTGGGGCCTCCCCAGTGCCCAGTGCAGGGGGACCATCACCTCCTGAGTCCTACTCCCCACGCTGTTCCTGACACAGGCCAGGATGCCATTGGCCTTCTTGGCCACCTGGGCACACTGCTGGCTCCTGTTCAGCCCACAGGCGACCAACACCCCCAGGTCCTTTTCTGCCAGGCAGCTCCAGCCACTCTGCCCCCAGCCTGGAGCGCTGCAGGGGGGTGGTGTGACCCAACACACACATCTACTGTGCTCTAGGCAGGTGTATTGTCAAGACTTCATGGTACAGCTTTGCTGACTGTTGTGGGGTTTATCCAGTGTTCATATGAGACATACTGGGAAGAGACCTTCTTCTTTCCGTATTCCCCTGAGCGCAGAGTGGGAGATTCCCTGTGGTGAGGAGATGCCAGGGATTTGAGGATGAGCCACCTCAGTCTATCAACACCACGTCATCCTCGTCAGCGCTGTTCTGCAAAGAGTCTACTTGCCAAAGCAAACTCAGAATCCTGCCTAGTCGTTAGCTATTTTGACCTTGCTAATGTCTTAGTCAGTTACTGGCATCTTCCTTCGCTTGCTAATTTGTTAAGCCCTACTTCAGTGTTTTCTATGGTATTCTCCCTCTCAACGTGTGTGGCTCCTGGATACATCTCCTTTAAGGAATTGAAAGATGATTCACAGTCAAAAAGACAGGGTTGGCCATTAACTGCCAATGGAGTGTTTAGCTCTTCCATGCAAGTGATTATTCCCACGTCTTCAAAGATGTTTGGGTCCCTCCTCAAGTCAAAGAGCAAAATAGCCTTCTGTGAAATGAATTCATAGGCTTATCTGTCCTCTCCAGACTGGACTGCCTTGTGCTTAATCCAGTGGAGGCAGCAGACTTTCTTGTGCTATATCCAATCTGAGAAGCTCCCAACGTGCTTTCCAGCAGAAGCGGTTGCAGAAAATGGGGTCAGCAACACAAGAGTCGCTCCAGGAGGGTCAGTGCAGTCAAACATAAAGACTGACAGCACAGGGCATGAGTGATCTGGATGGGGTCTCGTGTCTGCCTTTTCTGGGTGTGAAAGAAGAGTTATGTGTAAGAAGGCAGCTCTCTGCCTGACGGTGATGTAGCACCATTATTCTAGAGAGGCTAAAGGGAGAGGAACCCGGTACTTCTTTTGGCAACATCTCCTCAAAGCAGGAAGGTCTCATGGTGCCTTGCATGCCAAGCAAGACTTGTGCCAACTTGCTGGAGATTTAGTTGCTCACTGAGGTCTCATTTTCTCTTTGGCACTTGTTCTCTCTCTGATTTCCACTCTAAAGGTCTTAAAATTGAGATGGCAGCCACATAGGGCTGATGATGCCTGCTAGTCAGGAACATCTATGTGCGTTTTCCAATAGATGCCCCTCTTTCTTCCCAGCCACAGCAGGGGCACTGGGCACCTCTGGTTTGCAGGTGGCGTTAGGTTTGGTGTGAAAGGCTGTTGTGAACAGCTGTGCTGTGTGTGTATTCGTCTGGTAACTGCAGATGGAAAGTGCTGGGAGCCAGAACAGATTGTGATGGAAAAACAGGACAACTGTATCGCTTTTGAAATTGTGACAAATGACAGCAATACTTGGGTTGTTCCACGTTGTAATACCTTTGTAACTCAGG